CAAGAGAGATCGAAAAGACGACGAATGGTATTCCAGAGAAGATAATTTTACTCAAGTATTATGAAGAACAGTTCAGGTAGTTTCTTAATTCTTGATAATGGTAGGGATTCAGTGTTCAGTTATACGATTGAGGATCGAGCGGGAAAATTTAACACAAGGCTGCATACGAAAATACTCAACAGCTAACAATTTATGACTAATGTCCTGAACCGTAATAATTTAATTTAAGTGAATATAGCAGGTAACCCGTGACTATAGCGATCACTTCCAGTTCTGGGTCAGATTGCATTGACAATTTAATGAACTTCAAAAAATGATCCCCTAATCAAAAAGAAACCCATAGCCCCCAAATCTCAACGCTCTTGCGTCACAAATGTTGACAGTTGATAGAAGGCACCATGAAACTCTTAGTAAGTATCTGTCAACACTTATGACTTTCAAAAAGTAAGGGACTGCCTCGAAAGTCCCCCAAACTCAGCTCTTAGCCTTTGGACATGTAGAGAGGAGAGAAGAAAAGCGCCCCGTCCGTCCTAACTCTCATTCACCACAAATATTGATTTCGAAAAGGGCACCTCGTAGCCTTTGAAAATGAATTCTCAACTCTTAAAATGTTGATGCCTAATAACTTATGAAAGAATAGATATCGATAACTAATAGAGTATCGTACACTGAAGTCCAAATACCTGTCCAAATACTTTACACTGAAGAGTGGTCGAATTCACACGGAAACTCAACCACAATATTGGAACAGTCGAGAAGGGAGAAATTCGATGACTCTAACTATCAACTTTTATTCGTCAAATATGTTGTGAGTTCAAACAGGGAAATATATACCCACAAAAAATGAACTCTCAACTCTTGGTAATGTTGCTTCAGAGAGTACTTACAACGCCCGAAAGTGATCTCTTAACCGCGATATATGTGTTGAGAACTCAGAGAGCCCACAGAACCTACCTACCCTCCCTCTCCCCAGAAAACTCCCAAAACTGCAGTCTCAACTGTGAAGAATCTTNTATCCCTTTTAGCCCCTCTCTGGGTGCTTTACTGAGGACGAAGAAGGTAGAGTACTTTTTCACGAAGAGAATAAAGGCGAGTTTGAATTCTGCTTGTTCTCCTTTCATTCTATTTTTTTTTGCGTTTCTTCATTCGTTTTTTTCTCCTTCAGGTTGCCTCGTCCAGAAATAAAGTTCACTCATCGTCGTGTTCAATTTAAATCGATATAAATGCGGCTGAAAGAGTCACATGGTAACTAGCAGCCTTGGTATAATTATGAGCTGAGTGGAGCTTTATCTTGAGAAAACAATAGAGCTCTAATCGGGGAGAGAGGAGAAATTCAACAAATGTCATCCAAGATTTTCCTAGAATTTTTGGAATTGAAAAAATGGAGAGCTAAGAACTTGAGAATTTAATGCAATACTCAAAAGGAATGAGAAGATAGAAGAAACGAGAAGATAATAGTCTAGGCGTTCGTTATCGCAACTGATAATTAGGAACTTCAGCGAGTTGAGACACGGATCATCCAAGAAACGGAAAAGGAAAAGGAGGCGCTCTAAGAAAGGCTTGAATACATTGGAGAGCAGCTAATGGCGCGGAGAATAAACAAGGAGAAAAGTGAAAAATGAGGGGTTTGAAAATTTGCACCGAGAAATCATAAATTTACGGAACTGAAAGTACGGAGAATACGAATGTAACATGAAAAAATTGAATAAAATCTCAGGGGAAATCTCACTATTGTAACTGACGCGATTCGATTTTCAGGTTTTTTTGTTGGAACACGTATAAAGAGGATAGGAGGGATTGGGGACTTTGATTATCCAACAATAAACGCATCGACCTCAGTTGACACATCGCAAATGTGATCCTAGCGGAGTGCGGGGTCAAGGCGCTAAGCCTGGAAGACTCGTCAGGCTTAGAGGGTGATAAAGGATCAATGATGAGAATTTTCTGTGTTACTAACACACGGAGAATATTATACGGCGTTAGGACTCATATACGTATTCATTTGTTATCAATGATGGTTTACAATGGTTCTTGATTCAGTGAAATAATATCAAACACTGTGAACCGTGTAGACATTCTCCTGAGTCCAGTCTCTACGAAGAGAAAAAAATCTATTATCAAATAATTAAACATGGTTGAACGTTGGACACTTATTTTACCCCTGCTGAATGTGTTCGTGTATCTTCAGAGTGGCAGGGTAACATCAAAAACAACGCCAGAGAGAGAGGCCATTCTCATACCTGGGGATATAGTTCTCGGTGGACTTTTTCCCGTTCATGATAAGGGAGAATTTACGTGTGGATCCAAAGTTTATAACAGAGGAGTGCAGAGACTTGAGGCCATGCTTTTTGCTGTTGATCAGATTAATCAGGAAAATAAAATATTGCCCGGTATTTCACTCGGTGTTCATATACTTGATACGTGCAGCAGGGACACGTATGCACTCAATCAGAGCCTACACTTTGTGAGAGCCTCGTTATCGAATCTAGACATTAGTATACTCGAGTGCACTGATGGCTCAACACCTAAGGTCAGGAACACAGCCAGTGCTGGACCAATTTTTGGAGTCATCGGAGGATCCTACAGTTCAGTGTCACTCCAGGTAAATGGATGCAATTAAAATTTCTGAAGGACACAAAAGAGATGGAAGAGGTTTAATGAGAGGAAAATGGCTCAATTATTTTTAACTGGCTTGAATTTGAGTGAATTTGAGTAATTTCCGGAGAAAATTGTACATGTTTTTTATGCTCCTATACTTCACAGCCGATTTTCCCTACTGTTCACCATTTTTTCATTCTTCAGATATCAATCTAGCTCACATTCGTATTAGTGCTTTCCACAAATTAATGCAATCAGTAGATTTCGAGATTTTTAGCCTTTAGGTAATAACCAAATTGAATTACTTAATGTTCGGATGATGATTGAGTTTTCGGGCCTAGAACGTCATTAAACATGAAGCGATTTTGAAAATGAAGTAAAGTGTTGGAGCATGTGATTCGGCAAAAAAATTATGAGTTGCTTTTTGCTATGTAATAGTATTTTTCGTCACTAGACTGACGAAAACTTTTCTGCGGATATGAGTTCGCAGTCCGAGCCGAATCCAAGGATGGAATCATATGAGCTAGAAAAGTATTTTTTCTGTACTGCTTCTCACGATTTCTCGTCTGGGAATTGGTATTGCATACTTCCCAAACTCGAAAACTTGAAAATCACTACAAAAAAATCTTCTCCTGGGCTGCTGCGATGGGGTTTTTTTACTCGTGTGGTTGGCCAGTCCTCGCCATCGGCTCCGATGCCAACGCCACACGAGTAAAAAACCCCATCGCAGCAGCCCGGAAAAATATTATTTTCGGCCAAGTGACGAATGATGGTTTTTATCATGACGCCCGTAGGCACGAATTCACGGACGCGTAGCTCCATGTCCATGAATGCCTGCCTATGACCATTATGCTAAAAAATTTTATTCGTTACACCCCCAGAAAAACCCTTTCTACCTCATATGATTGAAAACTCATATTGACCAGAAAAGTTTTGCTTCGGCCTAATGAAGGCATTGACTCTATTTTAATTCACTCACATTCTCTCTATGACTGAATTTTAATCGGATTGTTATTCCGACCGTTCTAAGCATCCTCCTCCGCTAACGCAATTAAAAATATTTGGGCCACCATTTCATCTCTTCAACTGATGCCACAATTTCTAGAATTTTTTAGTTTTACGAATGTTTTTAATTAAATTGAATTAATGACTACTTTTATTTTCAAAACATATCCAGCTTTCATCAAAGATGATGCAGTAGTTTCCTTCCAGTTCTTCAAATTAGTTGAAGATGTATGGAATTATGTTTTCTATCATTGTAACCGATGCTTAATTTTTCAAAACATTTTTCTATCCCAATTTTCAATTTCATCATATCACCTTAGGGGAATAAAAGTATGAGTTGTCAATGTAGCTCCTGTGAAAAATAGAGCAAAATAGCAACGAATATAATTCACCTCGTTTTAATTAAATTCTCCGTTTGACTTGATGCATTATCGCCTGACCAGGCACGAACGTTTTCACTGATTGCCCTCTAAGAGGTCAGTGGTACACAGTAAAAAATCCGGTGTTGTTTTGACACCAAATCGGTGTCCCAGAAAGTCCATACCGTTTCCAGTGTGGACTCGCGGTGTTAAAAATTTGGTATGGAGCGTAATTTCGGTGTTAACGCTAACACCGAGGAGGTGCAACGGGTGACACTGCATGGAGTGAATTATAACACCGTCTCGGTGGGAAGTTAACACCGGATAAGTTACACCGGCCGTTTACTGATCAACACCACGGAAGGTGTTATTGAAGGAGGCGATTCAGTAAGATTCTTTTTTCATTTCAAAAGCGAAATTACTCTATACAGATGTGACCAGTAAACACTATTGGATTTTATGGGAATAAATTATCTAAAGGAAAATATGGGATCATTGACAGTAGGGTTAGAAGGGTTTGAAAAATTGAATAAGGTCAAAGGTATCTGAAATATCTTGTCACTCTATAGCCAAAGGGGCGTAAGCGCCATTACTTTAAGATTTTTTTTGGAAATTCAGGCGGCCGTATGTCTCTTTTTGATCGTGAAATGGCATTAGCTAAATTCTTCAAATATTTTTTGCCAATCAATTATAATAGAGACAAATGGGCGCATGTCCAAATAATTAGAACGGAAGGGGCGTATCTCCAAGACATACGCCCCTTTGCGTTTCATCTTCTAGTTAATATTCCGGTCAGCACGATCAATGACAAACGGGCGTAAGTCCAAATAATCACAATCGAAGGAGCGTAACTCCAGAACATACTCTCTTTCACTTTTAATCTCTAAGTTGATATTCTCGTCCATATGATCATGAAAAATTACAAAGGGATGTACCCCCAAAGTAGAGGTTTCTCCATTTATTTTCTGTTCATTGCAATTGATTCCACAATTACACGGAGGATAATGAGTAATTCCTTATTTCTTCCAGAATTTTCTAAATTTTGATAAATTAAGACTTGAGGCGTAAAATGTGTTGTATTTCTTTTATGGATTTAAACAAAAATGTCCTGTGTGAAAAGAATTGAAATTTCATGAACGTGCAGTTTTGTAGTCATTTCCAAGGGGATGACATGAATTTCGATGAAGGGAGGAAAGGATTTCACAGATGGTTGAAAGTCAAATTCGACAAGTATTATTTCAGCAATGATTCTCGGGAGAATATAACTTTGGAATAATCCATCGATTGTCTCTTTCCGTAATGACAAATCGGAGGCATACATGGGAGATATGCTCCTTTGGTAGTCATTTTATACAGTTCATNTTCCCGCCCCAGAAAGGAATAAATAATAATCAACAATAAAAAAACTGAACTCTTTACTCTGACGGCAGAAAAGAGTGCAGAGAACACATGTAAACTCCCCCTCCACCTCCCCAGAAAGGAATAAATAATAATCAACAATAAAAAAACTTAACTCTTTACTCTGACGGCAGGAAAGAGTGCAGAGANCTCTTAACTCTGACGGCAGGTAAGTGTTCAGAGAACAAATGGACCCCCCTCCCTTCCCCAGAAATGAATAAATAATGATCAACAATAAAAAAACTGAACTCTTAACTCTGACGGCAGGTAAGAGTTCAGAGACCATGTGCAAACTCCCCCTGCACCTCCCCAAAAAGGAATAAATAACAATCAACAATAGAAAAAACTGAACTCCTTACTCTGACGGCAGGTAAGAGTTCAGAGAACACATGTAAACTCCCGCTCCACTTCCCCAGAAAGGAATANGTGTATAGAAAAGAAAATTTCTTGGCTAGCAGAGATTCCGCGGCTTAAGTAGAGGCGCCCCGCGTCATTAAAAAATTGAGCTCAAATTTCTTCGCTCTTCTTTAACAGGTTCAAAAATGCTTTAAAAAAATTCAAAAGATGAATTTTAATCGGAAATTTTCTGAATTTTTAAAAAACGGCGGTCATTTTGTTCCCCTACTCCAACTTCATGGTGAAAATCGAAAAATAAAACTTCGTCGTTAATTTGNCACAGTAAAAAATCCGGTGTTGTTTTGACACCAAATCGGTCTCCCAGAAAGTCCACACCGTTTCCAGTGTGGACTCGCGGTGTTAAAAATTTGGTGTGAAGCGTAACTTCGGTGTTAACGCTAACACCGAGGAAGTGCAATGGGTGACACTGCATGGAGTGAATTATAACACCGTCTCGGTGGGAAGTTAACACCGGATAAGTTACACCGGCCGTTTACTGATCAACACCACGGAAGGTGTTATTGAAGGAGGCGATTCAGTAAGATTCTTTTTTCATTTCAAAAGCGAAATTACTCTATACAGATGTGACCAGTAAACACTATTGGATTTTATGGGAATAAATTATCTAAAGGAAAATATGGAATCATTGACAGTAGGGTTAGAAGGGTTTGAAAAATTGAATAAGGTCAAAGGTATCTGAAATATCTCGTCACTCTATAGCCAAAGGGGCGTAAGCCCCATTACTTTAAGATTTTTTTTGGAAATGCAGGCGGCCGTATGTCTCTTTTTGATCGTGAAATGGCATTAGCTAAATTCTTCAAATATTTTTTGCCAATCAATTATAATANTTAATTTTTTTTAAATCATTTTTCAATACGTTAAAAACGAGCGAGGAAATTCGAGTAAAATTTTGCAATCATGCGGAGTGCCCCCAATGAAGCCGCGGAATCTCTGCCAGCCAATAAATTTTCTTTTCTATAAATAAGTATTCAGAAGAATAATAAAAAAATCGTCGAAGATTTTGAGACNGCCATATGATCATGAAAAATTGCAAAGGGTACCCCCAAAGTAGAGGTTCCTCCATTTATTTTCTGTTCATTGCAATTGATTCCACAATTACACCAAGGATAATGAGTAATTCCTTATTTCTTCCAGAATTTTCTAAATTTTGATAAATTAAGACTTGAGGCGTAAAATGAATTTCGTAAAATGAATTTAGGGATGACATGAATTTCGATGAAGGGAGGAAAGGATTTCACAGATGGTTGAAAGTCAAATTCGACAAGTATTATTTCAGCAATGATTNAAGAGGTGAAGGTTCTTAAATATATCCAAGTATCTTTTACAGCTTTTCAATTATCAAATTTGCCAATTAAAATGCGTGAGTTTACCTTCGTGAGAAACTTAGAGTTGAACGGGCTCAAATGGAAGCTCCCATGTTCAACTACAGAAATGAGAAGGCATTTTACTGNTTATTTTTTTTTACTTTCTTCTGAATACTTGTGTATAGAAAAGAAGATTTCTCGGCTAGCAGAGATTCCGCGGCTTAAGTAGAGGCGCCCCGCGTCATTAAAAAATTGAGCTCAAATTTCTTCGCTCTTCTTTAACAGGTTGAAAAATGCTTTAAAAAAATTCAAAAGATGAATTTTAATCGGAAATTTTCTGAATTTTTAAAAAACGGCGGTCATTTTGTTCCCCGACTCCAACTTCATGGTGAAAATCGAAAAATAAAACTTCGTCGTTAATTTGAGCCCGATCTCCACTTTTTTTCCCGAAATCGGATATTTTTTTCAAATTAACGTGTGAAGTTTTATTCTTCGANCTTTATCTGTGTTGCCAATACACTGAGCGAAATAGAAGCCGGTTTTATAATGAAAAGAATAAGTCACGTTATTGACCACCAAAACCGAGCTTGCAAAATCGTGAGCGGGAGGAGGCAAAGAGTATTGGGACATCAGTTCGTTGAAAGGGATGAATTGTCCAGCCCCCGCAATCAAGGCGATTTCTAAATTCTTTTGATTTATTATCCAATTAANATACGGATTGGAAATTGAATAAAAAGTCGAGGAAACATTGAGATGGGATTTACACTCTTTCGGCTTTCAAAAGGGAGGTTTTTGGCTTTTACGCTCCTTTGACTCTACAGCAATGATGTATCTCAATGATGTCAAATAGAAAAATATGGCCTCCAGGATCAGTCGAAAAGGACGAGCGGAACTATAGGAGAGGTGAAGGTTCTTAAATATATCCAAGTATCTTTTACAGCTTTTCAATTATCAAATTTGCCAATTAAAACGCGTTTACCTTCGTGAGAAACTTAGAGTTGAACGGGCTCAAATGGAAGCTCCCATGTTCAACTACAGAAATGGGAAGGCATTTTACTGAAAAAAAAATAGTCAAAGTACTTGGATATGATTCTCAAGTGTTGAACGGGATAGGAAAACCTAATAATCTCTGGAATGGAACTGAAGAGATTAATCGAATTGAAGTGATCGAAAGTCAAACGGCCTTAAAGCTCCAAAGGAGTAAATAAATATGGATTTGTAATAAATATAAATATCCGAAGCGATAGGTTTATATTTTTTAGGCATCGAGCGGCTGAACATGAAGTAGCTGAAGAAATGAACCTCCAAACAAACATAAAAACTAAATTAACCTTCCATCGATTTTTTTTATTATTCACAATTATTCAACGTTAAAGTACAAAATGCTTAAGAACTAGAAACTTCTCATCGGTATCAAAACCTTCGTGAGCTTGATACGGTTGCTTGTGAACCCAGGAGCTCAGATTTACGATAGAAAAATTGTCTGACGACGATGAATGTATGTGATAAGCTTGGAGTAAATAATTAAACTCAGTTTCACATGTATTAACGATTGCATAGGGTATTTCGTCATCAATAAAAATGGACTGAATGAGGCTGAAGGTGATATCTTTATCTGTGTTGCCAATACACTGAGCGAAATAGAAGCCGGTTTTATAATGAAAAGAATAAGTCACGTTATTGACCACCAAAACCGAGCTTGCAAAATCGTGAGCGGGAGGAGGCAAAGAGTATTGGGACATCAGTTCGTTGAAAGGGATGAATTGTCCAGCCCCCGCAATCAAGGCGATTTCTAAATTCTTTTGATTTATTATCCAATTAACCAAAGTATATTTTTCGTGTTGATTTGCCAATGTAGTAGTAAGACTTTTGAATTTCTTATATTCGTTAGCAAGATCTTTGAAGTACT